AACTTCTCCCTCCCCCTTTCTCTTTTTTCTAATCACTCTTTTTCTTTTAAGAGCATTGAGAATTTGAGTAAGTGAAACTTTCCTCACACACACACACAGAGAGAGAGAGAGAGAGAGAGAGAGAGAGAGAGAGAGAGAGAATATCAATTTCAGTATATTGGGCTGCCATCAGAACCAGTGATCACGCTAAAACATAGCCATTCACCATCCTAACCTAGACAAAAATTGCTTCCTGACCAATAATTGCTTCCAGAGTTTATTCCTAAAGTCATAGAAATGCCCTCATTCAGAAATTCCCAAAGCAGTGGGACTTCAAGGAAGTAAGCATACACACTCCCAGACATCTCATAGTACATGAAATCCACACTCTTGCTAGGAATGGATATTTTGCCTCAATGATCCTGCAGTCAGAATCCATCATGGATAGGCAGAGCATTCAGCTGAAAAGTGATGCCACCCATATGACAAGCTGCAGTGCTTTTCAGCATCATGCTTGGCTCTCCATTGTCATATCAGAATGCAGTAACGGGGGGGGGGGGCTTTCTTGGTAACTGCAGTCCTGTTGGCTGCTGCTCAGGCAGATTTGTCTGCTTCCAGCCAATGCCTGAAAACATCGTGATTTGTTATTGCACGATGGCCTTATCCAAAGCTGCAGCTGCAGCAGAGACCAATCAGGTTCTCCTTCCACTAAATCTGTATCCCTGGAAAATGGCACCATACGATGTAAAGACATAACCAGTTTATGAAAGCATCATATACCTTTTCTCGTGAAAATGCAAAATGTACAATAGAGTTTAGCTACAATATTGTACATTATCTTAATGCATCAAAAAATGGGGATGGAATATAAAACCTGAAGTATTAATTGATCTACTGCAAACATCCCATACATCTCTACTATTAAGTCACATAAGTTCAGTGGAGCTTAATCCCAGGGTATAGACTGCAGCCAAAGAAATCTATTACAGCTGTTTATTTTATAGCATATATGATCTAATTTCCCTTTTATATATTGCATTAAAGATTTCCAGCTTTTCAGAATTACTTTATATTTTTGTGGAGTCCTTGTGAGTGCTGTAAACTCTAATAATTTCTCTTTGTTCCCACATTTTCTTTATTAACTCTGTTTTACTTGGTCTTCAGCTACTTTTCCCGAATTGGGTGAAGGTATTCTTGTTAACGTAACAACGTATAAAACCCATATCTGTTTTCCTAATGGGGCAAATTCAGTGTCATAGATGTTTCAATTATGTTGCCAGTAGGTGGCCAAGTTGTTTCTTTCTGTTCCTGGCACACCACAATGAAACAGGAGATAAAGTAATGAGTAATTCAGCTACTTAATTTGACTGTCCTAGCTGCTACAATCACACAACCAAGGCTAGTAAAGACAATTAAATGTTTTCTGGTTGTGCTATTTGTTTATGAATGAATATGAAAGATATTCAAATAATATACTCTTTTCTCTTCCCCTCCCATCTAAAGTTAGATTGTAAGCTACCTGGACTCTGTAAAGCAGCATGCACACTGATGGTGTACTGCACAGAAATAAAATAATAATGCATGCAAGATATTGTATTTGTTAGGTACATGGTGTTGAACTCCAGCTCCCATCATCCTTGGCCAGCATGGCCAATGGTCAGGAGTGATGGGAGCTGGAGCCCAACAATATATGGAGGGCACCAGGTTGGCTACCCCTGTGTTGGAACTATAACGTTTAGTCAATCAACCAGTTAGATTAATGCATTAAGAATCTTTTTAATCACTCAAATGAATACTTTTTGAGCAGCAAATTTTTTAAAATTAAATATTTTTTGATAAAACTATTAGCATGCATTCCTATCTCTGAAATCCTCCAGCTGAGCCATCATTGAAAGTGGTGCTATTGTTGCTTTGCCAGTGGACAGTGAGCTTCGATGGAAGAATGAGATGTCTTCGGATGCTTGTGGAAGGCTCTGCCAGCTGGAAGGATTCACTGACCAAATCCTGGCACTGAAGCAGCCAAGAATGGGTTGTATGTTGGACATGCCACAGGGGAGGTGTATCCCTACACCAATTCCTTAGTCCATTGCACACCCACAGTGGCAGGAGGACAGAACCTGCTGGGAGTAAATCCCAGAAAGGCAAAATGGAGGGTTACTTCTGTGTGTCCCGCCGCCACCCCCCTTGAGCAGGAGAAGCATCAGGGCTCCCTATAGCTGAGAGGGGGTGCGGGAGCACTTTAACGGAGCCCCAACCCGATCACAGACAGCTGTGTGCTCCTCAGTGGAGCAGTTTAATGAAGCAGAGGAAGGAACAAGCTGTATCAGGGCCTCACCAATGCAACTTGTTTCTCCCTCTGCACCAGTAAGAAGGCAGAGTGGGATGGTGACTTCACTCTGCAGTATATCACTGGTGAAACCACCGCTCCTGAGTCTCTCTGCTACCAACGCCAGCCGGAAGCAGTCAAGTGCAGTATACTGCAGAGTGAGGCTGCCATCGCAGTCTGCCCCTCATACTTGTCCTGGGCAAAGTATCAATACATCACACAGGCTTATTTAGTGCAAAAGGCAGTCTGTGTGGATTTTCTTTTCTTCTTTTCTGTGAGAAGCTATTTAGCTACATTTTGGGGTTGGAGGAAACAGATGTACAGCAGAATCCTAATAAATACAAAAGTTGGTTGTTCCTATTGGGTAACCAGCAAGAATAGAAACCTCAGTCCAAATAAGTACTGTATTCAAGCCAGCAATAAAACTTGGGCACAGGATAATAAATTACTACTACTGCTACTACTACTACTACTATTACCAACATTAGAAAATTCCACCTGCTTTCTACTCAGTCTTTGCCAATACTTTAGCAAGCCCTGACTAAGCCTTCACCTATGCCTTTGAAGGTGCACGATCCCTCAGTTAGCAGAACCATATGCTGCAAAGTTTTGCTAAAATGCACCATCTTAGATTAGGGATGCGGGTAGCGCTGTGGTCTAAACCACTGAGCCTAGGGCTTGCTGATCAGAAGGTCGGCAGTTCGAATCCCTGCATCGGGGTGAGCTCCCGTTGCTCGATCCCTGCTCCTGCCAACCTAGCAGTTCGAAAGCACATCAAAGTGCAAGTAGATAAATAGGTACCACTCCGGCAGGAAGGTAAACAGCGTTTCTGTGTGCTGCTCTGGTTCGTCAGAAGTGGCTTAGTCATGCAGGCCACATGACCCAGAAGCTGTACGCCAGCTCCCTTGGCCAATAAGGTGAGATGAGTCATTCGCAACTGGACCTAACGGTCAGGGGTCCCTTTACCTTTGTCTTAGATTACAAGTAAGGAATAGCATTTTTAAATAAATAGCCTTGGATAAATAGCCTTCTTCATATAGAATACTTGCAGGTTAGGGATACAGTTGTGGATTTTTTATTATTCAGTTGTAGTGGACCAATGGAGACAACCTTTTCCTACTGTCTGGGGATAGGCAATTTGTGGTAATATCACAAATTTTATGGTATGTTTTTTAGTATACCTATAATCCTTTGCTTATTAGGGACCACCACACATCCCCCCCCAAAAAAATGCTTTGCATGGGTAAATTCTGATTTATCAAAATGTTCAAACGTAGGGGGTCTGTGGCTTGGCTTTTGAAAAATATGAGGTCCTCAGTAATTAGCTAATTGTGAACCACTGCTTTAGATTATTGAAGGCCAAAGGCTTTCTGGCCATATGACTGTGTGATCCAAAAAACTGCAGATGACAAAGGATACTTAGAAGAGGCATTTTCACCTCTCTGTCACTCAAAGGAGAATGTATCTTCTATAACTTTGGCAATTGTGATGTGTTCATGTATTTTTATTTAGAACAGTTGTTCTATTAATGCACACATGCATGCAGATTAGAAAAGTAATAATCATCCAATTAAAAATACAGATTTATTTAATCTGGTGATAGCATTAGAATTTAAATAAAAGCTACAAAATTGTGCACTTTCCCTTTCAGCACCGATAAATTTATTTTCCTAAAATAAACTCTGAAGTGACATGAATCAAGGTAACATACACAAGTCTGGAAAAAAATAAAGACAAACAAAACCTTTTACTTAGAAATTGTAATATGTAAAATATCATAATTTTATTAGGCATATTTTCTGCTCACATATTAATGCAGCATTTTACAAAGCAGGAGGAACTGATTATGAATGGTCAGTGAAGCTGAACACCACAGGATTAATTAATGGAAGTCTTGTCGAACACCATTGTCCTTCCACCAGAGGGCATCCTTAGTAAAAACATTTTAATCACAGCAACATCAGTGTATTTAGAGCACAGCAACAGGGGCACATTTTTATCAAGTAATTAAGTGTGTTGGTACCATATATTTTTTATGAATCAAGTGATCTAGGTCCAAATTCAAAATGTGCACATTTATAGGTAGATGTTTTGCCTTTCATAAAATGATACTATTGCCATCAAAATAAGTAAGAAATGAATAGTGTTTTTCAATAATATGAAACTTGTCAGAGTCACTACTGGAGTATGAGAAGCCCCTGCACAGTCAGATATTCTGTCCCTTTCACATTCCTGACATCTCACCAGGATAAGAGATTTCTACCATAATATAAATTATTGGACTATATTTTGATCAGGAGACGCCAAATCTGAGCATGGCAGTTTGGGCCTATTGTTTCGTAAGAATAGATAAAATATTAAAATGAACTATCTATACATATTAAGGAAACACACACACACATCAAAGATAGATACTATGGACAACCAGTCCACAGTAAAGAAATGTCATAAAATATTATGCCCATAAAATAAAGATTCAATGGTTTCCTAATTATGCAATCTGAGAGGTGGCCTTATTCGTCTATTTATTATAGCTTTCACTAAATCTCAGGTGATTTGCTGCTTTGTTTGCAGATCACTGCTTAAAATGGTGTCTTTTTAGGGAGGAAGTGTTCAGTTTATTTTGCTATACTGCAGCAAAAGCTGCTGAAATGTGCTCTAGTGCTTGTACTGCGCAACTGGGTCAGTCAATGCGTCAGGAAAGGGAGTCAAACATGGGAATCCGAAAGTTAATTGTCAGCGTCTCGTAAACCCCCGTTTTCTTTGAGAAGTACACTGCTCTCTGGAAAACCTGGAGACGGAGAGACCTTGACTCGGCTCCTCTTTGGTTTCCATGGCATCCGCTCTTCATTGACTTCATTGTAATGAGCCCGCCCAATTCCCCTGGAACATTGATGGTGGAGGAAAGCTTCCGATTGCTCTCTCCGTGGTGCTGAAAACATTTCGGAGCACGCTCTGTTCCTTGTGCGCTATCCATGGTGCTGAAATCTCTCTAGGAGGCGCGGCAGTGAAGGAAGGTGGCGAAAAATTGCCAACTACGTCTGAAGGTGTGACCCCTGCAACTCTGCTTTAGACCACTCTTTCCAGCACTGGAGCAACTGGTTGATGTGTTGCACACCAGTGCCAGAGTTTGTAACACAATCATCAGGGATTCACCCAAATTGGCATGAAGTAGGCACTGGGAAGGTTTGTATTCATCCTCTTTTGAAGTCAACATCGTCTGACGACTCACTACCTCTACCTATCCCAAATGCAGTAAACTAATCAGCACCAATCCAGGATTTTACTTACAAATTGGACTTTGAATCCAGGCTGTTCTCTTTTTTCAAACTCGCCATGGCTCCTCCTGCACCTTTTGCTAGTGGATCCTTCACCTCCAGGAAGACCTTCTAGTTGTGTCTCACAACTTCGGTTCTATTCAGAAATCTGTGGGCTGTATGTAGACACTCAATCGTCTCCTCTTTCTGGCGCTGGCTCTCCTCCTTTCCTCCTCGCCCACAGTTACACACATACACGCATACAGAGAATCTCTCTCTCTCTCTCTCTCTCTCTCTCTCTCTCTCTCTCACACACACACACACACACCTCTTTATCTGGATGCACACCAATAGCCATTTTATGGAGAAAAGTTAGACATGGAACCAATATGAGCCATCATCACTGTTTATAAGGGTGCCCTAGCCAACCAAGTGAACGCCAGTTAAAACCTTTGCAGGAATGGAGTCCGTAAAACAAAGGATCCTGACCCCTGGCAAGGAGGGGCTGAAAAATTTAGCTGGGAAATCGCTGGGTCAACTCTACAGGTAAGGGACGGGATTGTCTTTGGTGGGTAAACATATTTACCATTGTGGAGCTTCTTAAACTGTGGCTCCTGACTTCACTTCTGATACGAGGATAATTTCACATACAGCTGTGACCAAACGTGGGTATTATTTGTGCTCTTTGGGTTTTGCTAGCTCGGGCTTTAACTTCAACAAAATGGTATCCAAATGGTTTTGATATTTAAGCATTTAACACCCTTCTATGGGGAAGCAGGCACCAGTGGTTTCAATATATTTGTTTCCAGACATTATCTTAGAAACACAGTCAGAAAAATCATACCAGTGTTGGGTAATTTATTCATTTTGTTCTGTGTATTTAGAACCTCACAATGAGCAGTGTAGAAAATGCTTTCTTTTATGGGGGGAACCCCTTTGCACTGTATTTGGGTTTTAGTTTACAATTTATTTATAAGAAAGTTTTCCCCCTCCCCCCAAGGAAGAATTAGCACGGTTTTCGATTTGGATTCCCCATTCCCCAGTGTATTCTCCCTTCAGACGAAGAAAAACATGGAGATGCATAAATAATTGATAATCTAATGTCTTCTTTCTGGAACACACATAAAAGGTAGACCATAGGAAAGAGACACTTAGGGAAACGTGTGTCCTCCTACCGAACCATCCCTTTATCCTTACACAGAAATGTACTAGAAAAGAAACTGTTTGAAAAAGTACCGCAGCAAACATTAGTTACAAAAATACATCTGAATTCGATATCAATGGTTCGTGAAAATACTGCATCCTCCCCCTTAATTAAGCCAAAACCAAAACGAAACTAAATGGTAGGTAAAATAATAGCATTTGAGAATGAAAAGATAATGCCAAATTGATTAATTTATTAATCTTAAAAAATAATAATTACTATTTCCCCTTATTCCCCTTATTCAGAGTGGCAGGTTAATACCTGAATAGGAAGGTCACCTTTGGTTGAGCAAAGCCACCATTGCGGCAATCGAAGCATTGTTTTATTGGAGAATATTAGGCTACTTTAGGGTAACATCTAGAAAACGAGGGCTGTACTAATTTTTAAGCCAAAAGGTATGCAGTAATTTTATTGTAAGAGCTGGCTGTACAACCCCAAACAAACAAACACACACACACACACACACACACACACACCATCCCACGTATTTGCTGTCATGCCCAGCCACGTAAATATCGCCTTATTTTTACTAGAGAGGAAAAGGACAGCAACGAAATATAATAAAAGCAAAATGTTGATTCGTATGACCATCTAATATTGCCGCTATAGTCTTAAATAATTTTACAAAGCTGTCTTCCAGAATAAAGAGATATACAAACTGTGCATTTTTTCATGGGTTTTTAAAAACAAATATTGTATTAAAATGTCGAATTAACTCTAGGAATGTTTAATTTCGCATTAAGCTTCGCGGGAAAAACAGGATCTAGTTTTCTCCTCTTGATCTTAGAATTGTCTCTTTACCGTTCTGTTTCTACAAGTCTTTTTTTCTTTTTCTTTTTCTTTCTTTTCTAGGCATACAATAATAAGTGTTGGGAAGGAATATTTGTATGATTGTATGAGGAGGCAATGTAACCATCAGCTATTATGTGTTATTTCTGATATTGCCTGGATGAGATTAGGATAGGTTATTTGATGTTATGCTATGTTATGTTATATTGTGTTATGCAATTAAGGTCAAGGACTGAATTCCTTGAAACTCGATATATGCATAGTATGTGTACACACACACACACACACACACACACACACACACACAAAGCATAGTAAAATACACCATATCATACCATCCAAAACCCAATCCCAATCTCCCCTCATCCAGGCAAAATAATAGATAATACACAATCGTTGATTCTAACGGGGAAAACAACTTGCATCCCTCTCTCCAAACTAGCCAGTAAAGTAATATGTGAATAAAATTAAACCCCATACCCACGTACTTCTGAGTAATCCCCATTGAACTCAAAAAGATTTACTTCTGGGTATAGGACTGCGCTGTTAATTCGCTCAACTGGCACAGGATCCAGCTCGGATCCCCGTGATGTAGAGAAAAACACTTTTGATCCTAAAATCAGCCGGTCCTGTTCCTAGATCTTAGCTAATCTGTCTTTATTGACCTAGATCTCGAAGGAGTGAAGGTCACCGCTGCACTCCTGTCCGAAATTACTAAAAGTGGTGGTGGGGGTGGAAATCCCTGCAATGGAAGATCGGATTTGCAAACCGAAAGACAAACGGAATAATATTTCGATCCCATTTCCAAGCCTTCCTTTTGTGAAAGGAAAACGTTTTTCCTCCCATGGAAAAACTAAGGGAAATTAAGGCAGGCGCGCAACCGGAAGGGCGAGAAACAGCAGCGTGCCTGGAATCAATGGGAGTTCAATATTGCTAAGAAACGTTGGGGTGGCCATCAGATCCCTCCCCATTTGCCATAACAGCAGTGAGAGAAAGGGCGCTCGCCTCGCCAATGCACTGCCTGCTTATTCCCACCCACCGACCCTCTGAGGTCCTCGAAAGGAGGGAAGCCTTGCTTGGGAGCGCTCAGTTTTCCACACCGAGGGAGCCGTGCGCCCATTACACGTTCCTCGGTGTCTTTTAAGCCTCCAAGCGCGGGCTGCCCGACAAGGAAGGCCTTCATTCGCGGCCGCCTTGGGATGTAGCTGGAGTGCAGGCCCGGCTGACTCAAAAAGCGCCAGGCGGCCATTTTGAGTGCTGGCAGAAAAACCAGACAACTGGCCGTCGCCTCTGTAAAAAAGAAAAAGAAAAAAGACGCCCTTTCCCTTCTCAATAGGCCTCACCAGGCCTCAGGGGCTTGCACACTCCAACCCCCAACCCCTGCTTTATAAGAGAGTTAAAGCCCTCTCTCTAAAAGGCAAGCAGACGTGGGTTTCGGCCCCCTTTTCCAGGATATGTTTCTGGTTGCAAAGAAGCCCAACATGGCGTCTCCGCAGTGGAACGCCTCCCATACATCAGGAGATACATAAGGAATGGAGGGGAGGGGGAAGGAATCAAGAAGCCTGGCAGGGGCGCCTCATTGAATTGCTTTGTGAAACCCACGCAGGAGATGGAAACGTTTCCTAAATCACGCCTGCCAACCTCTCGGGTGTTGTGGCGGGATATTTGTCAGTGGTGAGGGAAATAAACGTGTGCCGAAGGCCGCTTGCCCTTTCCAAACTTTAATGTAGGGCAGATCTCATCTGCAACAGAAGGGCCCCTGGTTCATTCTTGGGCCTGAAGCGCTGGAAGGTCACTCTCCGTCAGGGTAGAACTAGGCGGACCAAGGATCTGGCTGAGTGGAAAGCAGTACACTATGTTTCTACACATCCCCAGCGAGGTTTAGCACTCGCTAAATTGATTTTTAAGGCACACTCCTGGTTCAGATTAAGCCCTGAATCTACCTGCCCTTGCTTTAACCTCTGCCACCCACCCCGGGCAAAAATAAAATCCCGAAGATAAATGAGGCCAGGGGCTTGGAGTCCCTCGACTGAGATCATGTCCTCTTTGGTTTGGGCAGAGTCCTCGAGAAGAAGCAGAAGACCGGCGACACCATCGAGCTGACGGAAGATGGGAAACCCTTGGAGCAGCCCGAGAAGAAGGCGCCCCTGTGCGACTGCACCTGCTTCGGGCTCCCGCGGAGATACATCATCGCCATCATGAGCGGACTGGGCTTCTGCATCTCTTTTGGGATCCGCTGTAACCTGGGAGTAGCCATCGTGGACATGGTCAATAACAGCACTATACACCGAGGAGGGAAAGTCATCAAAGAGGTGAGAGAGAGAGAGACGTTGAGACAGTTCTCCTCTTCCACCTGCACCATCACGACTCCCAAACGCCCTTCAGGCGTCCATTTTAAGAACATGGGCTAGACTCTAAGAGAGGTGGCCTGTATGTCATCGTCTGACTTCAATGTTTAGGGAAAAGTTCTTTAAGCAGAACTGAAAAAATGATTACAAGGAGAGATGAATCCATTCATTTGGTTTTGATCCATTTTTTCCTCCTCTTTCTCTCGTTCCAATTCATTCACCCGCATCATTTCCTGTTTCTTTTTTCTTCCCTCGTTTAAAACCAGACTCAGTTTTGTTGTCGTTGGTATGAGAATTTGGTGCACCTGTTCGCTTTTCCTACTGCTTTCTTTCCATGGAGCTCGGAACGGCTTACATGGTTCGCTCCCCAAGCATTTTATATTCACAACCCTGTGAGGTCGAGAAAGAACGTAGCTGGCCCGAGATCATCCCATGAGCTTCCTGGCTGAGTGGGGCTTTGAACCTAGGGTACCCCACCCATAAATAAAAAATGTAGCTCCCCCACTTTCTTACACACAATTATATTTTAGACGACGACCAGCTGCAAGGAACTCGCAGCCCAAGGCACACCTGGAAGCAGGTCCCATTGAGTTCAATTGAACTTACTTCCGATTAGGTGTGGCCAGGAGGACCGCAACCGCAATCGATTGAAAATCCTAAATTATTCAGCTGCGAATGGGGGTGAAAGGAGTCCAGGAGCCCGCACCCCACCCCGGGTCGGATCATGATGCTCCGCTTCCTGCTTTCGCTTCTTCAGTTCAAATCCAGAGGTGGTCCCAAGATCAGACTTCAGCCGTTACATGGCAGCGTCTGCGCTCCGCACTTGCCAAAATCGATAGGGAACAGGGCAGAGGTGGCCCCTCTGGACAACTGCTATTTTAGACCCTTAAACATACTTATATGCCTAATAAATAATGATGATTACACCAAGCGGCCAAAAAGGACGAAAGAGGTTTGTTTCCCCCCTGGCTCTCTGGAAACTTCGGAATTAGGGAGATGACGGTCCATCAATCGTTTTTTACATCGCGATTGTCAAATCAGGTCCGTCTTAGTTTTTAAAAAGCGAGGGAGGGAATCTTTATTAAGAATATGAAGAAAGCGAAGCAAATCTGTATCAAACCCCTGATTCGGAGGGAAGGTGAAGCTTCGTTTATAGGCGGATAAATGTACGTCGCTTCAACAAGATTTTCTCCTTAATAATCGTTTTCTTTGGTGAGAAAAATAGCAAGGTGTTTGTGTCCAATAGAAAAACAAACAAATCACCACATAGTAATCGAGAACGTGAAATGGTTCACAAAATAACGCCCCACCCTCGTCCCCAACCATTTCTCCCAGGGGAAAAAACAGATAACACAAAGTAACCAAGTGGCAAAGGTATCTTATTTATACAGTGAAATAAATTGCTGGACGGATCCGTTTCAAACACTGTTGTGTTCGGAAGCTTTTGAACATTATGTTTGATTTGAACCTGGCGATCGCCCAGGAGATTCATTAATCCACCTGTGACCCTTTTCAAATATAGTCGACCCCCTCTACTCCCCAATATGCTAACCTGGAATCATAAAGTCGCAGCGTACAGTATCCTCCTAGCACAATAATATAAATACTAATAATAATTAATAATGAACAGCAATTAAGAATATATAGGCTACAGAGACGTTAGCAATCCCCATCCTTTAAAAACCCCAATGTGTTTGTTTGGGCTAATTGTTGAATTTAGCAGCGTCAAGGGAAACCACATTCATATTGTGTGGCTGACAGCTGCAGGTACCCTCCGTGGACCTTGGCTTAGCACCGACCTGTCCTTTCTAAATGACTGCTTACAACGCATCTTCTTTTCTTCCCTCTGTCTTTCCTTTCCTTGGCTTGGTCGCTTTCGGAAGAAAGCGAAGTTTAATTGGGATCCGGAGACGGTTGGCATGATCCACGGTTCTTTTTTCTGGGGCTATATAATCACGCAGATCCCCGGGGGATATATTTCATCCAGGCTGGCAGCTAACAGGTAATGACAACCCGATCTCTCCCCTCCTCCACGTGCGAAGTAAGTAAACAAAGACCGAGATGTCTGCTCCGCATGGTGTTGGGTTATTCTATGGTTGGTGTTTCTGCTGACAAGGGAAGAGGCAGAGAGCCGCGGGGACCTGTTGTTGGCTCAGGGCTGCTTCTTTTCCTGCATGGGCTGTTGGAAAGAAACAGCCTCCTGTCTGGGGGAAACCTCGATGAGCCACACTGCGGAGCTCAACCCCCACTCCGCTATGGTGCAAAGCGTAGCAGCGCAGTGCGGAGTGGTGCTCCCCATCCGCCAGTACGTGGGCGCAGACTCAGAGGCCAGAATAGTTTGGCTTTGCAGCCAATCTTTGTTGGTGGAGCGACAGACTGTTTTTGTGTTAGACGAACTGAACAGAAGGGAATTCTCTCGCGGTTAGGGGACAAGACAGGGCACCTCCAGTGGTACATACAGTCAGGACTCTGCTTTTACGCCTCCCCTCCAGCCCATCTTTAGATGGGATTCTGTGTAGCTTCTGGCATTTCTGCTCCAAAGTCCTGCTTTGAGGGCACTACCGGACACACCATCCCTGGCAGAGTCTCTCGCTCTCCCTACCAAGGATTTCTGGTCTTTTGCCGCAAGTTTCCAAATGAATACATTTCAGTTCAGCCCGGAATAAAACCCACCACCGGTTCTGTGCAACTAAATCCCATGAGACTTGCTACCAAAGAAGGGTCTATGGCAGGCATGGCTAAACTTGGCCTTCCAGAGGTTTTGGGACTACAACTCCCATCATCCCTAGCTAACAGGACCAGTGGTCAGGGATGATGGGAATTGTAGTCCCAAAACATCTGGAGGGGCAAGTTTGGCCATGCCTAAACGCTGTTTTGCTGGGTGTGTGACTCAGTTCTAGCTGAAATCACTGCCATTTTAACCCGAAATCTGAGATTAATCTTAAAACGGTCATCGTTTATTATCGATCATTTCGGTTCATGTCGCATCTTTCAGTTTCAACATTCAGCGCCCAAAGCTGCTCATAACAATGACAACCAAAAGGGGGGGGGGGCGGAGAGTCCATGCTCCCTTCCAAGCCCAGTTGAAACGAAGTATTTTGATAGCTGAAGTAATAAAAAGCACAACATTGACTTTCAGTCAAATGCTTCAGCTTAACTAAATTGATTATTGATTATAATAATCATACTCTGCTACTAGTACTTACTATTCAGTTAGCAGATTAATAATTGTACACATTTTCGTCGGACCGAAACCCACGGGTTCGTGTTGGCAAAACACGAATTTCCTGTTTTTACATTGTTATTATTGGTTTTAATGTTACACTTTATGATATGTATTGTTCCTGGCGTTGTTTCCAGATATTATTATTCAGGCATTAAGATATTATTCATATATGAAAGCCCTGTTGTTGTTTTTGGTTGTTGTTTTTTGCACGTCACTGAAACGCAGTATACTCGTTCGCTTGCTTGTTCGACGGTTCGGAACTATTTCATGCGGTCTGGCTGGGCTCTCTGTTCATACCGTCTGCTTCAAGTAGAGACAAGTCCATTTGTTTCGCTCAGGTTATATATAACCCGCAGAGCTTTTTGGGAAGCCGTCGATGGGGAGTCGAGTGCGTTATTATTAATTATTCCCCTTATTTATTTATTTATTTAAACAAAAAGACTCTGCGTATCTCTCAGATGAAAGGTGGGGGTCCTTATTAATGGGCAGCCGAAGGGGAGCTGAATGAGGCGCCCGCTGCACGAAGCAGGAGAGGAAAGTGCTTTCCAAGAGAGCTTTGCACAATGAAAGGGAAGTGCAGATGGCGCGGGGTCTTAAGGCTCCGTTTCTATGGCGCCTGCCAAGGAGGTTTCAGGCACCCGGGGGGCGATTCTACCTGTTAATTAGATCCTCGGAGGATTTCCGGGCGCAGGAGGCATTCAGAGCCATCCTCTCTGGGAGGAGCAAGGGGGGTCCTAGCGCCGCGTGCTCTCCAACCCGGAAGCAGGCGGCCCCGGGCAGGGACTGGATGTTCCAGAGAACAAAGTCTCCGCGCGTAGAGGCCCTTTAGACCAATCCATCAGCCAATGCAGACGTGCTGATCACCCCCCGAATCGATCGCCTTTCCACCCACGCCGCCTGCTCCGATCCTGCGCTTGCAGCTCTGAATGGGGAATGTTTGTGCTATTACAAAACCCCTCCCTCTCCTAGTCCGCAGTCATGAATCAAAGTAACTGTATTCACACACGCGCGCGCATCTCACTTGCCTAGCTCTCTGGGGTGGGAGGCGGATGTCAAGCCGATCGTCATTTCTTGCCCTGGGCAAGATTTCCATCAGTTGTTTGGCTTGAGTAAAAAAGGAATCAGGGATTTAATCGCCACCGCTACCAACACCCACCGGAGCGCTTCAAACTACTCCGGGTCTTCATCTGCACAAATGTGAAACGGGGTAGCCTAGCTGTAGATTGAATTTCCAAAGGGAAAGCGGGTGGGGGTGGAATCGGACGCAGGGAAAAGTCCTGCAAGAAAGCTTGCTTTCCCTGAACATCCTCAATGCGACTCTGTTAAACTGAATTTTACGTCGGATGGGAGAGCACCACCTGATCTAGAATCAGCGCTGATTTAAGGCTGGACTCCTATACCCACTTACCTGGAAGTAAGCCCCGTTGTACTCGGTGGACCTTTCTTCTGAGTAGACGTGCGTAGGACTCCCAATTCAGATTAACAGGAATATACAGGTTTGGAAAGACAGCAATAAGACCTAATCAACATCCCCTCTAACCAGCTCCTGGATTGCTACTTCAGCCTCCACGAAGTCGTGCGTGTTCTTCTTTAGCCCTAATTCTCTCCGAATTTATAGTTTTGCGATTATAGTTGTGCGAACTGGTAGATGTGGAGGGAGAGGAATGGCACGTAACTAATTCGGAATGCGTAAAGGAAGACAGCGACAAGATGGAAACCGAGGAAATGGCGACTCATGACAGTCAATCTGTGAGAGTGTACCGTAGGTTTAGATGCCAAAACAAGGGCAATTCTCCATAGAACCGACCGTGGCCGATATTATAAATCAAACCTGTAT